GACATTTGTCACACAGACATTTGTCACACAGACATTTGTCACACAGACATTTGTCACACAGACATTTGTCACACAGACATTTGTCACACAGACATTTGTCACACAGACGACATTTGTCACACAGACGACATTTGTCACACAGACGACATTTGTCACACAGACGACATTTGTCACACAGACGACATTTGTCACACAGAAGACATTTGTCACACAGAAGACATTTGATCAACGCGACAAATCCTACGTGACCTGACCGACCTTGACACAAAATGAGACAAAGCGGTGTCAGTGGGGAAATGTGACGTCACTTCCGGATTGACGACCTCTGCATATACGACGTGACATCAGCAGTTGTCGCGTGATCAGACATCAATCAACCTCTGCCGTCTGTCTAGGTGCAGTAGAGTTCACTTGTTGACTGACCGTAGCTCCTAACGTAGCTGTGTCCCCGCCACATCACTTAGCCGAGCTTGAATGCTGGGTACCCACTAGAGCTGAACCCGCTGCACCGATTTGAACCCAAACCTTCAGGCCGGCAAGCTCTAACACTCGACCAGACGGGTCACGTATTGCTGGGTTAGGTTTGACGTTAGTGTTTAAAGTTTGATGAATCAAACTTTAAACCAGCCAAAAATCTGATACAATAACAGCACACGTAAGAAGGGGTGAAAAAAAGGGGGGGGGTGGGGTGGTCGGAACCAAGGACACCCTGACCTGGATTATCTCTTCCTTGATCCCATCTGGGCCACTTGCAGGATATCGGGGGGGGGGGGGAAGATTTCAGGCCAATACATTTAAAGCCAAAAAATTGAACGCCGATAAATTGAACGCCAATAAATTGAACGCCAATAAATTGAACGCCAATAAATTGAACGCCAATAAATTGAACGCCAATAAATTTAACGCCAATAAATTTAAAGCCAATAAATTTAAAGCCAATAAATTTAACGCCAATAAATTGAACGCCAATAAATTGAACGCCAATAAATTGAACGCCAATAAATTGAACGCCAATAAATTGAACGCCAATAAATTGAACGCCAATAAATTGAACGCCAATAAATTGAACGCCAATAAATTGAACGCCAATAAATTGAACGCCAATAAATTGAACGCCAATAAATTGAACGCCAATAAATTGAACGCCAATAAATTGAACGCCAATAAATTTAACGCCAGCCTGACCCAGTAGACCTTGACATTTGTTTGCCATGGCAAAGTGTCTGGCCCATCCCACGTTTAATTCAATTGTAAATAAACATGAGCGCTCATTTCACAATAACGTCATCGGTTTGTGTGTAGAATTCCATGCGTGACTCAAGGCGTCATGACCCAAGATGGCCGCCCCTCTCAGAAATGGCATCTGCCGAGTTTGGTGTGAGTTGCCCCTCCCCCTCTCCCTTCCCATCTCCCTCCCCCTCTCCCTCCCCCTCTCCCTCCCCCTCCCTTCCCCAACCCTCATCATTAATGTTGACGTGGATAAAAAAATGTTTTTGTAAATTTCGCCTTCAAAGCGGCCGTAAAAAAATTCATGCTGAGAAAAAATTGTGCAATGCAACATTGTGTGAATCAACGTTATGAAAGTTCGAATGTAAAACTTGAAGAAAAAAAAATTGTGTTTAAGGCAACATTTTATATTTCTTTACGTCTACCCGGAATTCGAACTTTCACTTCAGGAACACTATGGTTGGGTGTATAGAAACAACACAATATAGCCACATTACAAAAACCATACAATATAGCCACATTACAAAAACCACACAATATAACCACATTACAAAAACCACACAATATAGCCACATTACAAAAACAACACAATATAGCCATATTACAAAAACCACACAAAATAGCCATATTACAAAAACCACACAAAATAGCCATATTACAAAAACCACACAATATAGCCATATTACAAAAACCACACAATATAGCCATATTACAAAAAAGTACACAATATAGCCATATTACAAAAACCACACAATATAGCCATATTACAAAAACCACACAATATAGCCATATTACAAAAACCAGACAATATAGCCACATTACAAAAACCAGACAATATAGCCATATTACAAAAAACCACACAATATAGCCACATTACAAAAACCAGACAATATAGCCATATTACAAAAACCAGACAATATAGCCATATTACAAAAACCACACAATATAGCCACATTACAAAAACCAGACAATATAGCCATATTACAAAAACCACACAATATAGCCACATTACAAAAACCAGACAATATAGCCATATTACAAAAACCACACAATATAGCCACATTACAAAAACCACACAATATAGCCACATTACAAAAACCACACAATATAGCCATATTACAAAAACCACACAATATAGCCACATTACAAAACCACACAATATAGACATATTACAAAACCACACAATATAGCCATATTACAAAAACCACACAATATAGCCATATTACACCACATACAGATTTTCAAAAAATTAAAGGGCATGTTAAGACTATTCTCGTTGGGGACCATTTACTACGCTTTTCTGCTAGAAACTTTACTGCTAGAAACTTTACTGCTAGAAACTTTACTGCTAGAAACTTTACTGCTAGAAACTTTACTGCTAGAAACTTTTCTGCTAGAAACTTTACTGCTAGAAACTTTACTGCTAGAAACTTTACTGCTAGAAACTTTACTGCTAGAAACTTTACTGCTAGAAACTTTTCTGCTAGAAACTTTACTGCTAGAAACTTTACTGCTAGAAACTTTACTGCTAGAAACTTTACTGCTAGAAACTTTACTGCTAGAAACTTTACTGCTAGAAACTTTACTGCTAGAAACTTTACTGCTAGAAACTTTACTGCTAGAAACTTTACTGCCAGAAACTTTACTGCTAGAAACTTTTCTGCTAGAAACTTTACTGCTAGAAACTTTACTGCTAGAAACTTTACTGCCAGAAAATTCACTTCTAGAAACTTCACTTCCAGAAACTTTACTGCTAGAAACTTTACTGCTAGAAACTTTACTGCTAGAAACTTTACTGCTAGAAACTTTACTGCTAGAAACTTTACTGCCAGAAACTTTACTGCCAGAAACTTTACTGCTAGAAACTTTTCTGCTAGAAACTTTACTGCTAGAAACTTTACTGCTAGAAACTTTACTGCCAGAAACTTCACTTCTAGAAACTTCACTTCTAGAAACTTTACTGCTAGAAACTTTACTGCTAGAAACTTTACTGCTAGAAACTTTTCTGCTAGAAACTTTACTGCTAGAAACTTTACTGCTAGAAACTTTACTGCTAGAAACTTTACTGCTAGAAACTTTACTGCCAGAAACTTTACTGCTAGAAACTTTTCTGCTAGAAACTTTACTGCTAGAAACTTTACTGCTAGAAACTTTACTGCCAGAAACTTCACTTCTAGAAACTTCACTTCTAGAAACTTTACTGCTAGAAACTTTACTGCTAGAAACTTTACTGCTAGAAACTTTTCTGCTAGAAACTTTACTGCTAGAAACTTTACTGCTAGAAACTTTTCTGCTAGAAACTTTACTGCCAGAAACTTTACTGCCAGAAACTTTACTGCTAGAAACTTTACTGCTAGAAACTTTACTGCTAGAAACTTTACTGCTAGAAACTTTACTGCTAGAAACTTTACTGCTAGAAACTTAACTGCTAGAAACTTCACCACACTTTATTGCTATAAAGGTTAAGTTGAACTATATTGCTTTCCATTTCATCCAAACCATCTTTCAACGCGAGTTTCAACACATATGTAGTCTGCAAGTTGTTTTGAAGATACATTTTGTTTTAGTCCCCCCCCCCCTCCCACCCTTATATTGGTGTGGAGCCCCCCCCCCCCCATCTTATGTTGCTGTGTAGTGCGTCCCCTTCACCCTGCCGCCCCCCACCCACCCCCTTTACCTAGACATCATAGACTGAACCTAAGATAAACTAAATTGATGACGTCATTAAATCGGTCACATCCTTACCCCGGCGGCATCAAATAAAATTGTTGGCAATTAATCAACCAAGTTTGGTCGAAATCCAATTAGATTAAGACTAATTAAAAACCAACATGAGTTGAGTTCAATTGTTGTGGAGAGTGACCTGGTGATGTTGTGGTGCTTGATGTGCCACCTCATGTTGGCGTGGTGCCGCGGTGCCTCATGCTGCTGTCGATGTTGTGGTACTTGAAACGCTGTGAGATGTGTTTGTAACAAAGAGAATTAGAGAATGAATTGAAAATGTTCCTCTGTTAGAGTGGTCAAATATTTGACGAGGAATTTTTTCTCAACGGCCCAGCGAATGTGCCTGATGTTTTTACAAATTGTGCAATAACATTTTTAGTGTAGCTGTTGGACATTTTGTCGTAGGGGGCATCGTGTCAGCTGTCATTCATCAAGTATTGATGTCTTTAAATGGCATCGTTCATTAATTAGCGGCTAGATGACCTAACGACTATCACATGGGGGGTGGGGGTTAGATGACCTAACGACCATCACATGGGGGGTAGATGACCTAACGACTATCACATTAAGGTTAGATGGCCTAACGACTATCACATTAGGGGGGTAGATGACCTAACGACTATCACGTTAGGGGGGTAGATGACCTAACGACTATCACATGGGGGGTAGATGACCAAACGACTATCTCATGGGGGTAGATGACCAAACGACTATCTCATGGGGGTAGATGACCTAACGACCATCAAATGGTCCATTAATCACCAAAAGATTTTGGCATTAATTTAACAGACAGATAAGAATAATTGCTTGATTTATATTTTTACTTATATAAAGTGTACTCACATTTTTTGATCATTGAGAAAATAATTACGTAATAACACCTCAATTTTCTGCGCTAAAACTATTTAGCCTGCAAATTTTATTCATTAACAGAGCTATCAACGGGATATAAATAGAATAATTAAGCAGGGGACGATAACTGCATTAGCCGGGGATAACTCTGTCAGCACAAACCTTGCTGCAACTCACGTCTGATTTCTCTGTTTCAGTGTATGGACGTCTGCCCAACAGGAAGTGGCCAGGACAGAGCGAAACAAAACGTGAGTTCACGAATACATAATTACATCGCCATGTTTACTTTGTGACGTGTTTCCGGTGTTTTGTTTGAGGTCGTGGGGTCAAGTTTCTTACTGGGAGCTTTTGTGTTTACACATCACATACACGGCTACACACATCACACATAAATCACACATCACACACAAATCACACATCACACACAGGGCTCCACACATACATCACATGTATGTTGAATGGTCCCACACTTCACTCAACACTCACAGCCTCTATCACACCAGCGACAGTGACGTTTACTGGGGGGGGGGGGGTGATCGATCGCAGATTGACTCTACTTCACCTGTCTTACGGCGGAGATGTTTATTTCCTCAGGGATCGGGTTGGCCTGGGGTCAGTGTGGGTGTGGGCTGGGATCGGGTTGGCCTAGGATCGGGTTGGCCTAGGATCGGGTTGGCCTAGGATCGGTGTGGGCTGGGGGTTAGTGTGGGCTGGGGGTTAGTGTGGGCTGGGGGTTAGTGTGGGTTGGGACCGGGTTGGCTGGGGGGTCAGTGTGGGGTGGGATGGGGTTGGCCTAGAATCGGGTTGACCAAAGATCGGTGTTGGTTGGGATCGGGTTGGCCTAGGATCGGGTTGGCCTAGGATCGGGTTGGCCTAGAATCGGGTTGGCCTGATGGGGTTGGCCTAGGATCGGGTTGGCCTAGGATCGGGTTGGCCTAGGATCGGGTTGGCCTAGGATCGGGTTGGCCTGATGGGGTTGGCCTAGGATCGGGTTGGCCTAGGATCGGGTTGGCCTAGGATCGGGTTGGCCTAGGATCGGGTTGGCCTGATGGGGTTGGCCTAGGATCGGGTTGGCCTAGGATCGGGTTGGCCTAGGATCGGGTTGGCCTAGGATCGGGTTGGCCTAGGATCGGGTTGGCCTAGGATCGGGTTGGCCTAGGATCGGGTTGGCCTGATGGGGTTGGCCTAGGATCGGGTTGGCCTAGGATCGGGTTGGCCTGATGGGGTTGGCCTAGAATCGGGTTGACCAAAGATCGGTGTTGGTTGGGATCGGGTTGGCCTAGGATCGGGTTGGCCTAGGATCGGGTTGGCCTAGGATCGGGTTGGCCTGATGGGGTTGGCCTAGGATCGGTGTGATATAAGTCTAGAACCTCGATGACTCATAGACTGTGTATACACATGAATCAACAAGATGCGAATATCGGTTCGATTTGATCAAGTCTTCTTGTTGAGGGGGGGCCGAGGGGCTCCGAGTGTCCGCTTGTTGAGGGGGGGGGCCTCAGAGTGTCCGCTTGTTGAAGGGGGGGGGGACGAGGGGCTCCAAGTGTCCGGCCAAAATTTGCCATCGAATTGGCTGGACGCGCGGCCAGACAAATCATGCTTGAAGCGGCAACTAGACACAAATCAGGGGGGGTGGGGGGGGGGGGGGTCTATTTATAGGAACATAATTAAGGACAATTTTACAGTCTTAAAAAGATTGAAATAGGGATATTTTTACAGTCTGTAAGAGCTGGAATTATGGACATTTTTACAATCTATTAGAGCTGAAATTGGGGACATTTCTAAGTCTATCGAAGCTGGAATTTTTACAGTTTACAGTTTAGCCACACGCATGTGTTTACATAAGTATGTTTATGTCACACGTATGTGTGTTTACATGTGTATGCTTATGTCACACTATGTTTGTTTACATGTGTATGTTTATGTCACACGTATGTGTGTTTACATGTGTATGTTTATGTCACGTATGTGTGTTTACATGTGTACGTTTATGTCACACGTATGTGTGTTTACATGTGTATGTTTATGTCACGTATGTGTGTTTACATGTGTATGTTTATGTCACACGTATGTGTGTTTACATGTGTATGTTTATGTCACACGTATGTTTGTTTACATGTGTATGTTTATGTCACACGTATGTGTGTTTACATGTGTATGTTTATGTCACACGTATGTGTGTTTACATGTGTATGTCACACGTATGTTTGTTTACATGTGTATGTCACACGTATGTTTGTTTACATGTGTGTGTTTATGTATTCCCAAAGATCCAGGATTATTTCTACCACCGTCTGTTTAAAGAAAAACAAAAACTAAAATTCTCTTTCCATGATTAGAAGTGCCTCATTATATTGTTACACACAGACAATATTAGACAGAAACTAAAATAAGTGTCAGCAGCTCGTTAGCCCCCCCCCCCCCCCCCCGTACAGGAAACTGTCCCAGAGTCTTCTAGAAGAATTTCTATTCAAGATTCAAATCTTTCCCACCGATCCATTTGAAAGATCCATAACTCCTGTAGATAATCGCCCTTATTTTATGTTGTTTCATTCCCCTCCAATACCCCCCCCCCCCATGGACGCTGTAAATTGTGGCTCTGATAATGACCTTGGCTCTATAAAGGCTCCGTCACGGTTCTATGACGGCTCCGACCTTGGTTCTATCGCGGCTCCGTCATGTTTCAGCGGCGCAGTGAGCCACTCCACTACCCTACCCCCACCCCCACACTACCCCCACCCCACACTACCTACCCCCCACACTAACCTACCCCCCACACCACCGCCATCCCCACACTACCGCCATCCCCACACTACCGCCACCCCCACACTACCCTACCGATCCCTACATTACTACTCAACCAAATATTGTTTTCCCAACTATCGTTCTTTGACGATAAAATCAACAATTGGATTCTAGACTTAAAGGACGCACCATTTTCCTGCATATGTTCTGCTTAGTTTCTTCTCTAATCCCGAGTTTGAAAAGGTCACCAAGGCAACAGAAATAAAAAAGTTCACCTCAGTCGACGCTATTGTGTCCCTTGATCGTGAAAATGAAGAAAAAACTTTACAAGAAAAAATCTATCCGTTAAACGGAGAGATTTAAGCTAGTAAAAAACGTGAATGAATGGGTTCATTTAAAATTGTGCACCACGCAATATCCTTCACTCACAGCTTTGTGTGTGGGTGGTTACTGTATGACCTCCCCGCCCCCATCTCCCCTCCCCGTCCCCAGCTCCCCAAACACTAAAAACTTAAACTATTCTTATAGCGTGTTGAAAATGATTTGATAAATCGTCAAAAATTTGAGGTTTTCAAATAATGAATGACCGCCTACGTCAGAGCGGTAGGGGAATCTATACAAACCTACTAAACAATGGAGTCATCGCTCCTTGTAATTAAATCGACCTTACACAAACGGCCACCGATGTAATGAATAAGCAAACAAGGGAAATTACCCCATTCAGGGGAGATAAAGGGATATTTGAGTTGTGTTTACCTCTGTAATTAAGGTGTGTAATCAAAGCTCGGGGTGGTAGCGCAGTCAAACATTCGTGGATTTTTTTTAAAGGTTTGTGGTAGGTTTTAATTAATCAGTGAGGTTAACTAGATACAGTTGTAGGTTTCTGGTAGGTTTTAATTAATCCGTGAGATTAACTAGATACTGTTGTAGGTTTGTGGTAGGTTTTAATTAATTCGTGAGGTTAACTAGATGCTGTTGTGGGGTCATCCATGAATGACGTCACACTCGTAGGGGTGAGGGGGGGGGGGTCCGTAATTTTGTGACGATGTGTGATGTGGGGGAGGGGGGGGGGTCCAGATGTTGCGACGTCACACTTTTGCATTATAAAAAAGCAATGTTAGAAAACGAAATTTAGACGTTATTTCGCGTTTTAGATAACTGTTTTAATAAATTGTAATAGTTTAGACAAGTTTTTAGAAAAATATCAATGCTTTAAAAAAATTCAACTGCAATTTTGAGGGGGGTTGTAGGCTGAGGTGTGTCGTCATTTTAGGGGGGGGGGGCTGGCTTTTTGTGACGACGTGTGACGGAGGGGAGGGGGGAGGTAAAAATCGTCAAAAAAAGAATGACGTCATTTATGGATGACCCCTGTAGGTTTGTGGTAGGTTTTAATTAATCAGACACTTTAAGCGTATATTTGCTGCATAATCATGTAAATAATCTTGCGGTTACATGTTTAGTATAATATTTTAATAAAATTTTGTTTGTAAACTTTTCGTATAATTGATTGGTATTGCCTTAGCGTATAATTTTGTGGTGTCCAATATTGACCAATTACGTGTAAGCTAGAGTGGAAAAGGTGCAATATCCTTTTATTTCGTATTATAAAAGCTTTTACGTAAATAATAATGTCCGTCCGTCTTTCTTTCTGTCTATCTCTAAGTCTTTCTTTCTATCTGTCTCTTCTTTTTAAAATTGTTAATTATTAAAAATAATGCACATAACAAGTATAAAAAGCTTTATAATAACTGGTATTTACATGCATTAAAGCAAAAGGAAGTAAATCAAACGTTGCATCTTTAAAAAAAACTTTTGTGACAAAAATGTTTCAGAGATTTCAAAATCTAAACATTTAATTCCTGAAAGAAACTTTGTTTTAGTTTCTTGTTCAGTGCTTAAAGGCTTGCTATCATAAAGGATTGTTTACCTGTTTTATTTTTTACATGTTTGCTTCCTCATCGACTACTTATGTATTTCACAAGTCGATTACTTATTTACTACACAAGTCGATTACTTATTTACTACACAAGTTAATTACTTATTTACTGCACAAGTCGATTACTTATTTACTACACAAGTCGATTACTTATTTACTACACAAGTCGATTACTTATTTACTACACAAGTCGATTACTTATTTACTACATAAGTCGATTACTTATTTACTACACAATTTGATTACTTATTTACTACACAAGTCGATTACTTATTTACTACACAAGTCGATTACTTATTTACTGCACAAGTCGATTACTTATTTACTACATAAGTCGATTACTTATTTACTACAATATTTGATTACTTATTTACTACACAAGTCGATTTCTTATTTACTACACAAGTCGATTACTTATTTGAAGCCCACCGCCAACAGAAAACCCCACCGCCAACAGAAAACCCCACGGCCAACAGAAAACCCCACCGCCAACAGAAAACCCCACCTCTGCTGTATTGGACTCGTCCAAAATCAACTCGCCCACATCCTCCAAGCATATTGAGTACA